TAAAGTGTGGAGTGTGGAGTGCACAGTAAAGTGTGGAGTGTGGAGTGTAGAGTGTGGAGTGTGGAGTGTGAAGTAAGGAGTGTGGAGTGTAAAGTGTGGAGTGTGGAGTGCGGAGTGTGGAGTGGAAAGTGTAGAGTGTGGAGTGTGGTGTGTAAAGTGGGGAGTGTGGAGTGTAGAGTGTGGAGTGAGGAGTGTAAAGTGTAAAGTGTGGAGTGTGGAGTGTAAAGTGTGGAGTGCGAAATGTGGAGTGGAAAGTGTAGAGTGTGGTGTGTAGAGTGTGGAGTGTAAAATTTAAAGTGTGGAGTGTAGAGAGTAAAGTGTAGAGTGTAAAGTGTAGAGTGTGGAGTGTAGAGTGTAAAGTGACGAGTGTAAAGTGTGGAGTGAGGAGTGTAAAGTGTGGAGTGAGGAGTGTAAAGTGTGGAGTGTGGAGTGTGGAGTGGAAAGTGTGGAGTGTGAAGTGTGGAGTGTAAAGTAAGGAGTGTGTAGTGTAAAGTGTGGAGTGTGGAGTGTAAAGTGTAGAGTGTGGAGTGTGGAGTGTAAAGTGTAGAGTGGGGAGTGAGGAGTGGAAAGTGTAGAGTGTAGTGTAAAGTGTGGAGTGTGGAGTGTAAAGTCTCAGGTGAGGAGTGAGGAGTGTAAAGTGCAAAGTGTAAAGTGTGGAGTGTAAAGTGTAGAGTGTGGGGTCTACAAGTGTAAATTGTGGAGTGTGGAGTGTAAAGTGTAGAGTGTGGAGTGCGGAGCTTCCCCCATAGACACGGCGACGCCACAGGAAAACCAGAGACTCGAGACGAGACACGTGGGTGCAAAAAAACGAGCATTTCGAGCGAGACGTCCTCCGATTTTGACATTTTCCACACGTTATCAAACAGGTTGGAATGTCACAAAGTGCCACGCCTGCCACGCAAAACGACAGGACAACCTGCTTGGAAACATTCGAAAAGGTAAGGTTTTCCAGCTTCCCCCATAGACACAGTGACGCCACAGGAAAACCAGAGACTCGCGACAGAACACGTGGATGCAGAAAAAACAGCATTTCGTGCGAGACTTCCTCCAATTTTGACATTTTCCACACGTTATCAAACAGGTTGGAATGTCAGAAACTGCCACGTCTGCCACGCAAAACGACAGGACAACCTGCGTGGAAACATTCGAAAAGGACAGGTTTGCCAGCTTCCCCCATAGACACGGCGACGCCACAGGAAAACCAGAGACTCGCGACAGAACACGTGGATGCAGAAAAAGCAGCATTTCGTACGAGACTTCCTCCAATTTTCACAGTTGGCAACATGACAAAAGGACAAGTTTTGCAGCTTCCCCCATAGACACGGCGAAGCCACGGGAAAACCAGAGACTCCAGACGAGACACCTGGGAGCACCAAAACGAGCATTTCGTACGAGACTTCCTCCAATTTTCACTCTTTGCAACTTCAAAATCGACGTTTTCCTACGAGTTTTCCTTAGAACCTGAAAATTTGCAACCTCAAAATCGATGTTTCGTGCGAGGCTTCCGTCAATTTTCACCACATCGCACAAAATGCCACGCCTGCCACGGAATTTGCACCTTGTCGCCACTTGACGCAGCCCTGCCAATGCAATTTGCAAAAAACACGCAGCACGACACGTCTAAGGTGCTGCGCCTGCCACGAAAAATGACGATGGACACGTCCAAAGTGCTGCACCTGCCACGAAAACTGCAACACATCTTCTGAAAACGTCACAAAAGTATTGCGCCTGCCACGCAAAACGATTTTCGACACGTTGCAGAACACGTCTGAATGTCACGAAGTGCCACGCCCGCCACGCGAAACGAAGCAACGACACGTCTGAAACCTCCAAAAATGACCACCTCTGCAGAACTTCCCATAGGCACGGCCATACGGAGTTCGTACGAACGGTTGCGAACGGCTGCGGACGGTTGCGGACGGTTGCGAACGGTTGCGGACGCGGACGCAACGTCGAGCGAACGCACTCTCAACCCCCAGACCCCCAGAGTGAAACGGGAACCCTTGCTACGCATTCGGGAAAATGCAAAATTATGTTTGGAACACCTTACGCCAAAAATGCGAATGGCAAAACCATGAAACACCTGGGTGTTTAATTCAATGCAGGAGCGCGATGATGTTGCAGATTTCGTGAATCCGATGACGATATGGAACAATTCAATGTGACTGATCACCATTGACGTTTTCATTTGGGTTGTGATGGCACGAATGCAAATCACGAGGCTAATTTATGCTGACTGGATTGTCATTAGTGCACTATTTTTTGACAATTGATGCACGAACATTTTCATTCCGCAGCATACACGCACCGTATACTCTGTTATTTTGGCTGCTCAACGGCGTGTTGTTGCCAAGCAATCACTGTCTTAGGGCAATATTTGCACAACACAATTTCGCCCGGCCAGTTGCCATTTTCGCACTGGCAGGGCTGGATGGCTGCAACGTTGCCACGGCACCGCGTCCTGTGTTCACCACGTCGAAAATGAAAGTTGTAATGATCATTAATTATAGTGCTAACGCTGATCATGATGAAAATCACGATTGCTAGGACGAGGCCAAAGAAAGAAGAGGACGCGACTGTGAAAATTTGTCGTTCCAATTCATGCCAATATTTTGTTAAAACAATATGAATTTTGTTTCCTTTATTTTTTTCATCGCGTTCTTTCCAATGGTTTTGTTTGTTGCGCGTGGAGGGATCTGCGCATGGCAAGGCCAATGCAGAATAACATTCCTGGCGCTTCATTTCAGAGGAAGGTAGTATCAAGACCGCTGCTTCCCCCTCCCGTCCCATTTTTTCCATTGCCCGAACATCGTTTTTTTCATTGTTATTTTGCATTTTTTTTCGAGCACACGCTGCTGATAGGCGGTTGGTGATTGAGGTGTTCGTTTGCTTGTAGCGTTCGGGGCGCCCGTCCGTCGACTTGCCACCGTTTTTTGGGATGCTAACAAAAACTCTCGGGCGGACACTTAGCCAGACAATTTTTCAAGATGCGTATGGAGGAAGTGCACGCGATTTTTTTTCCCCCAAACCTTGCAGTATGCAGACAAAACATTGTAAATCCTAAATTGTCGGTGGCTCTACTGGTATACTTCGGGCAGTGGCGAGTGTGACTGTACGTTGTTTACTCTGGCAGCCACAACAGTATCAAAAATTAGCACGAACTGTCAACGACCTTCCAACACACATGTTACGACGAAATTACGTTTTAAGAAAACGTCGTCAAATTTCTGGCAGTCACTGTGGGAGCAAATCCTGTGTTTGCCACACGCTGACCATATGTTTGTCAAATTTTCAACATGCATTCTTATGTTTGGTGGAAATAACCTTTGAAATTTCCGGTTCTCATTCCGGGAGGCGGGTTTGGAAGAAAAATGTGCTATGAAATTTCCAGTTTTTGATGAGGTTTTGCACGACATTTTTGTGCTTACACAGTGCGGATCATCTGACATGTTTATTTTTCTATGCGTGTCCGTGTTATCACCTTATCACTTGGGTTGACCATAAATATCCCTGCCAAGGACTGACGCATGTGTTTTATTTTTCGTCCGTGTGGGGTACACGCTCTCCGATATAGAGTTTGTGGTGCTGGTATCTATGAATGTATTGTTGCTGATGTTGGCGTCACAGGAATGGGTTTTGGAAATGCAATGCTAAATCTGGGAAAACCGAGACCCTTGATAACACTTTTCGATTCTTGAATTTTGATTACTTGTATGGGAGCATGAACAAGTGGTCCTTGTGACGCGAATCTTAAGCTGCGGTGGAAGAAAGGCGGGCTGCAATGAGCGCGGGAAAATCAATTTTAAACGAACCGTAGCGCAAAAATATTAATTGCATGAGCAGATCGCGCACCAAATGCCATGCAGTGACAGAAATTCGAATTGAAAAATGTTGATTTGAAAACTTCCAGCTGCTGCAACACGGCAGTCGCGCGTGCCAGACCTGGAAAGACAATGTTTACCCAATCCTCCTGATCGAAAATTTGCCTTATTCATCGACTAGACAACATCCGCGAAATTCGTGTATGCTACATGATGCCGTTTCAAAAAAATAAATAGTCAACGGCAGGAATTAGACTAAATCGCAAAGTCATAGGCATACTCTTCATTTAGTAATTGGCGATCAATAGCGGTTTTGAAGATTAGTTACATGTTGTTTTTGCTGTGTTGTTGTTGAACCGTCTGGTGCCTTTCTTGGAGAACGAACCACCTGCAGACCATGACGAGGTCTTAGCATTGATGATGCGATGGTGGTTTTGGAAAATGTTTGTGGCAAATCTTTGGCCTGGGAATCCGAAATGTGGTTTGCGAGCCTTGATCTACAAAAAACGTTCGACCGTATAGAACATGAATCGTTGTTTCAAGCACTGCAAGCACAAGGAATTCCAGACACGTACCTGCAAGTGTTTCGCCGCCGGTTATACGCGAATCAATCTGGAAATGTTGGCGGTTGCATGCGGTTGCCGTTTTGTTTTCAAAATCACACGTGGAGTGAAACAAGGGAATGTTTTAAGCCCCGTGCTGTTCAATTCTGGGATGGAGCACGCCATGCGAAATTGCAAACAACCTTTGAAGTCTGCAACTTTTGCTTGAGATACAAGCGCCTCAGGATATGAACAGATACTACACCTGTTATGTGACATGGCATGAGTGCTCCAAGACGCAAATCAGATGCCATGCAAACAGCGTCAACAGGAAACACCCCGCCTTGCTGCTAACTTTAGTAGGCAGCCAAAAAAATTGTTGCAAAATCCCTAAGGGAAAACCTCAAACTAAAGTGTCTGAACTCTGCCGCTGGGACGCTTATTGCGTGTCTCTCCATGGCTGAGTTCCTCAGGAGCTGCTGTCAGATTCACTTTTCCAAACTGCATGCAATCCTCGGACTCATCATTTTCGGCTTCGTCATCCGATGTCCCGTGGTGGACATCCAAGTTTCTGGATCACTGACTCCGCAAAGTTCTGATTGGCAGTAACGTTGGAATTTCTGAGATTCTGTTTCCATCATCTCGTCTGAATCTCCTCGTCCTCTTCTGCATTTTCATTCCCTCCAGAATTGTCCAAACTTTGAAGTAAGGCATGTGCAATGCTGTCCACATGAGCACTGCCAGAGGTTGTAGTTGGGTCATTCTCATCCACAAGCAAATTGGCAATTTGTCGCCCTACTCCAACTGCATGCTCAACCTCATCCATGGCATTGCAAACTTCTGCCCAACCAATCTCGTGATTCGGAGAATCTTCATTGCTCGAAAGGTCTGGCATGTTGCGTGCCATGACAGCTGCAGAAAGTCGAACTGACTGATCTCTGCTTTGGCAGGCACTTATAACATTGCAAAGCAACTGCAAACGTTCCTCGTACAATTGCTGTCGTTCCAACGTCGTGGCAGCTGAGCGCCGTCGGACGCATCTGCTATAGAGGAAGGTCAGCATGGTTTCAGGACTCCCTGCACCGTGAGTTATTCCAAGCTTGACAAAACGTGCATGCAAACCCGTTAGCACAGGGATCTATAAAATCCAGATGCCCTAACTAGGAGCATCATAAAATCTAGATACCCCAACGAAAACGTAAACGCAACGTCACGTAAAACAAATGCCTTACGTGGTACCAAAGTGAAAATGAAAGCGAACTGACATCCGACGATTCACTTGAAAGCTGCCGCAGGATTTTTTTTTTCCAGAATGCTTTGGGATAAATATCTCGAATGGTTGGATCAATGCTTCCAGCGCAAGGCTAAAAGTACAAATTAGGGTGGGAGTGAAAACGGGGTGGGTCAAATAAGGATTCCTCAACAAAATTGATTGAGGTACCCACCTATCCCACCATTTGAGACGAGATGACATAAAATTATATAAAACATAGCTGATCAAATGTTTTGGAATGAAATGCGCATGAATGCACAGTTTCAAAACAATTTTAAAGCAAGAAGAAGCAGACAGTTTCAACATTCTGGGTATCAAAATTATCAAACAGTTGGTGAACAGAACAAACAAACCTTTGCCCCGACACAGTCCGTGTAGAATTCAAAAGATGTTTGCACGCACTAATTGTTGAAAGTGCATTTCAACACTTTTCTGTGTTAGTTTGAAATAAGGCAATCATCTTCTCCGAAGAGCATTGGCTTATTGCAAGCTTGACAAACCGTGCATGCAAACCCGTTAGCACAGGGATCTATAAAATCCAGATGCCCTAACTAGGAGCATCATAAAATCTAGATACCCCAACGAAAACGTAAACGCAACGTCACGTAAAACAAATGCCTTACGTGGTACCAAAGTGAAAATGAAAGCGAACTGACACCCGACGATTCACTTGAAAGCTGCCGCAGGATTTTTTTTTTTCAGCAATGCTTTGGGATAAATATCTCGAATGGTTGGATCAATGCTTCCAGCGCACCCGGGGCCAACCCCATTTTCTCCAAGTGTGCTGGGATGCTGATTTTTTGATCCTTTCTCCCGTTTTCGGAATGTTGTCCGTGAAAGGCATTCGCGAAGGTGGATCGACTGAATTGTTTGCCGTGGAAATTCCACCGGGTCATGATAAAAATGTTGAAACGCTTCAAGTACTGAAAAATGGTACATCCCCCTGATGCCAACCGATGCCATCAAAGCGAAGACTTTCACGATCGTGAGTTGGGATGGGCCTACGCGGCTATAAAAACTTAGGGTGCGCGGCGTAATCGTTGTTGAAACATCCGATGATTCTCACAAGACTACTTCCGCCGATGATTACGCTTGACTAGACATAGGAGGCTGCACAACTACAGCCAAACTGGTATGAGTAAAACTGCAAATGCATTTCAGTTGGTCCGACTCTCAAAACGCAGTCAAACTTACAGTGCAGCCAAGCGTAGTTGTCCAGGCGCCGACCGCGCGGAGGTCGAAGTCACTCGTTGGCGCCCCGAAAAAAAGGGACGTGATTTTACCTTTGACATGAATTATTTTCATTAATTCAGGCCAATTTTGGCTGAAATTTTCCCCTTGAAGTTGCTAGTTTTCCTTTTTTTCCGCAAAAACGGCCAAAGAAAGGAAACTAAAAACGAGTTAAGGGCCATCAGCTGGTCAGCTGATACATGGTTAAGAACAATACGTGGATAGCAGAAACAAGTCAAAGTTAAGGATCCCTGATTTCAGTACGTGGTTACAGGTCACTCCTTGAAAAGGGGCGACATTGGCACGATGACTCATTGTTCGATTGTTATGGTCAGTCAATTTTGATGGATCCGGCGGTCAACTTCCAACATCACCAAATTAAAAAAAAATGAAAAAACGTTTTGGTGTGGGTGCGGCCTGTTTCAATTGTTGTTTGCACTACCATGCGGATGGTGTAGCAGCAAAACAGAATTTGGGGACATTTTTGCCTTGGTATGTTGAGGGCAAAGGTGTCGCAACAAACCAGAGCCATGTGTCGTCGTCATGCTTTGGTTTCGCATTGGCACTGTTTGATGATGGTTATTTCATGTTATTTCATTTTTGCGATTGTTGAGAAATATTCTGTTTGTCACAATTTTCACTGGCCAATTCTGGGGCAATGGTTTCAGAAGCGGCGCGTGCCTTCTTTCAACAAGTTCCCCTTGGTTGGTTTGCTAGCATACGCTACTGGCTGGAAAACAAAAAAAATAAAGGTGATTCAACTTTCCACGCGGACACATTTTGTCCAATTTTGGGGCCTTATGTTATATTATTGAGGTGTGATGTTTAGTATTCACGTTCCGCCGACAGGCATGTCAACTTTCGCGACAGAATCCATACTGGACACATTTTGTCCGGGAAATTTATGTCATAAGTCATAACATTGGACAATGATAACTTAGGGTGAAACAATTTGATTTGTTATCGCCAAACGCGTGAAATTTAAAACTTGAAACGCTGGCTGCAACGAAAGCAGCGGCCATTGGTTGATATGCGCTTTGGAACCATAAAAAGTAAATGAAATTGCGGAAAAACACAACGGTGACGCCGATGATTTGCAAAGGCATTGGAAATTACAAACAACAATTGACATCATGTTTGTCATTGTGTTTGTGCACTATCACATGCCATAAACGGCAGGTTTGGAACCCGTTGTTCACAACCTCACAATGCCGATTGAACCTATTGGAAACATGCAACATCATAAACTCACATAACCCAAAACAATTTGAGGTTATTGTTGAGTCAGAACTATGTAGAAACGGCTGGATGGCATGTAGGGGGGACATCGTGCAACATGTTGCGAAACACATTCAACGCGGGCGCCAAATCGATTAAACGGATTAAACGGATTAAACCTGGACACAAAACCCGTTGGGAGGAGTTCCGCGCTCATGACATGAGGTTTGCTAAGAAAAACGTGTGTTTCACCATAACCAGCCCCAAACTGATTTGCCAATCCGATTTTCATGTGCTTTTGGGCGTTGATTTGCCCAGACGCAAATGTTACCAGATGCTTGGCGTCAAACCCAGGTGTTTGGTTAATTTTTATTTGTTTGTAAAATTCGACCCATCTCAACATTTAATTTTACGGTTTGGCACCATTTGAGTGCAAATCTTCTGGGATACGCTAACCGTTGGGAATGACCATTCCAAAAACGTTGAAATGAAAATTCAATGCCGACCTTTGGTTGAAATTTCGTTGGCAGGCCCACTGTGTCTTTCCATCTAGTCAAAAAGTTTGCATCCGTATTGAATGATCCCGGGGCACGTTGCGCATCAATTAGGAAAACATGGTGTGCAGATCTTAGTGCAAATGAACACTGCGTACTGAAAAGTGGGTTGGCCACCGCCTTTGTGCCTGTGTTGTCAGTTTGGCTGAAGATTCCACAGTGTGCAGCAGCGCCAGCTGTCCCAAACACAATGTCTTTTGGCAAGTCGTGCGGGAGATGGATGGTCAAAACGTGCTCCAAAATTGGATCTCGCCGCCAAGTGCCAAAGCCGGAAAAAATATGATCTTGAAGTCGTTTGGGAAAATTAACCCCAATTGGAGTCCAACATGGTTGGCCAACTTGGGCATGTTTGGATGCAGGTGGGGCAGGCAGGCCCAACATGGCCTTGCACGAACCCTAATCAAAGCCGTTGGAAATAGCAATGAACGCATATTTTCAGTGTGTCGCATTGAATCCGCGAAATTGGCCCGGGTTGGGCTCAGCTTGGGCCCGGGCTACCTCAAAGACGCCGAACTTGGACCCCCAAGTTGCGCTATGTTGGACCCAGCTCAGCTGGAGCCCAAGTTGCCAGCCAATTGGCCATGTTGGGCTGCAGTTGGGCCCAAATCGACCAAGATGGGCGCCAAATTCAAGCCACGTGATGCACATGGAAGTCCAAATGACGCCCAAAGTGGCGCATCTTGGGACCTTCTGGCGACAATTTCAAACGGACACACAACATGTCATCGAAACAAAAAAAATACAACTGAAAAGGGGCGTTTTGAAAATTTCAGATTGGGCCGGCTATGTCCCCCATTGTGACGCCATATGGGCTTCAACTTGGGCCGAAGTTGCTCTCAAATGGGTCGAAGTTGAGGCCAAGTTGCGCCCAAATTGTGCCATCTTGGGGCCAAGTTTGGCCGAAGTTGGAGCCAAGTGGGTCCAAGTTGGGCCGAAGTTGGAGCCTTATGTTGCGGCCATTTCGGATCGAAACGGTGCATTTGCACGATTTTGTGCCGATATGCAAAATGCGCAAATTACGACGGTACCGTGCACTTTTCGGCGGCCTGGACGGGAATGAGCCCCCTCCGGTTGAAACTATATATGATCCCGTCTTCCGCCCGCGAGGCCGCCCCCCCCCCGAATGGGATGGGTCTCCAGGTAGCACCCCCGTTCCCTTCTATTTGCAAGCTATTGGCAGCATTTCTGAGGTCCAGCCTCATATTTGCCAGGTTTTTGCAGCGATTCTGACTACCAGCCTCCCATTTACTAGGTACATGCTACCCCTTAGACGACCTACGTAGCACACATACTCCCTCAAAGTACCTACGTGCTACCTATAGTCATATATACATGTGCTATGTATCTACTTCCTATAAATGTCATAGATACATAAATATGTATATAAATAAATAATAAACATATATATATATATACATACACACACACACATATATATATATATTTGTATTTAAATATACATTTACATTTACACATATATACATATATTCACATATATATATATATGTTTATATATGTACACATGCATACATACATACATACCTACATACATACATACATGCATACATGCATACATACATACATACATATATACATATATACATATATACATATATGTCCTTCATGTTTACTTTGTGACGGTGGCAGAACTTCGGCTCATGCTAGCTGTCACCAGTGGTGCAACAACCGTTGGTAGTTTGGCCTTGGCATACAAACTGCTGAGTTGGGCCGAAAAATCCGAGCCCCTTAGCCTTCCTTTCGCTGCCGCGAGCCATTGGAGATTCGACGCTCTCAGCTTCATGTTTGGGGCCATCTGTGGGATTGCCCTAATTTTCCTGGCAGAGGTCTGGTTCACGGTGAAGTGGGTAATGCTTAGCTGGGCTGATCGTCGAGCTGAGCAAAAGCCTGTGGCTCTGGGAAGAGCAGGACAGAAACCCCTCTACAAACTCTGTTGATGCACCCTCCCCGAGACTTTGCGGGAGAGTTGCAAGACGTGAAAGAGGAGGTAGAGGATTTGCGAGCTGAAGTCCGGCGCCTTCGACGTGGGCTGCTTGAGCTACGTGCTCTTGTTACTGATCAGCAAGTGACTGCATCTGGGCGCGACTCAACTGTGGGGGGATCCTATTCTACGGCTTCTTTTTCTCCGTCTCCTGAGCGGGGTGCGGAGGCTGTTGCCGCAACATCGGCGACTTTGCAATCAGTGCCTGAGCAAGCTGGGACAGCCGCGCCGAGTGCGCATACCGCTCTCAGTTGGCAGCAACGTGAGGAGATCTGCGATCAGATCGGGCGCTTTTTAGCCAGGTCAAGCGCGGGAGGGCACAGAGGGTCAAGTGGACGGGAGAAGATCAACCTTCCCTCGCGGCTCTGGATCATAGTCCGCGATTTCAGCGGGCAGATCTATACACCTGTCAAGGTGGTGAGATCGTGGTCTTCCTGCAAGACTCTTTGCAAGCCTGGCAATCACGAGTGCGGTGATTCGGTGTTCGTTGGGGTGCCTTCCGAAAGGGAGGCAAAGCGGGTCGTCGCTGCTGCTCAGCTCGATTGGCCTGGTGCAATTGATCCATGAGAGTTTTCCGTCAGGGTGCATGGCCTGAGGAAAGCTCACCACTGGTCTACTCAGAGGGGCTGGTGAACCTAATTTATCCTGTCGGCCAGTTTTTTGCCGATCAGGAAAACTGCACGGGAAGTTTGCAAATAATTCAAATCTGTGAGCTGGAAAACCGTTTGCTGGTTGCAGTCCCACAAACTGCTTGGCACCGTTCCCTTTCAAAGCGCCTGCTGCCGCCTGGAGTTTTGGTCCGGGCCACATTGGTTGAAGTACAAGCTGCAGAAGGAGATCAAGTTGACGTGGCTATTGACGGTGTGTCGCTTAAACTATGGGTCGGCTTTTTGAAGAAGTCCCTTCGCGACGCCATCGAGATTTTGGAGGAGTTCGACGTCGACTACTTCTTCGACGACAACGAGAGCAGGAGAGCGCTACCTCTAGCGCAGGCCCTGGTGGATGTGTCTCAAGAGCATTTTGCTTTCTTTTCGGCCGACGGCTACGGAGGTCCAGGCTTCGACGAGACGGGCTTGGGAGAAGAGATGACTGCCGGAGCTGCCGATGCTGGGTTGGACGGCGAGCCTATGACCGACTTGGAGGTGCGCGTGGCAAAGATGGAGAATGCGCTGAGCGACATTGCTCAGGAGCTCAGGAGCTCAGGAGGCAGGGTCCTTTGAAGGCTTCGACAAAGCGCAGAGCTTCTCCAAAGCCCACCCTCAAGCCAAAGCAAACCACACAGGCCTCTTCATCGGGGAACTTCTTGCCGACGGACACCAAGGCCATGTTTCCGAAGTTGGATGCTGGTGTTGTTGCAGCAGCCTTGCAAGCTGGAGTTCCGTTGGCGCATCTGGAGTCCATGCAGAGCCTGATGGCCCAGCTTACCAAGGCCACCAAACTCAAGGATCTGAATCCGAATGTGGCTCCCGACCCTTTGTCGGAGAACGATGGGCTTCCAGACGAAGAAGAAGAACTGCTGCCCGCCGAATATGGCTTGGGAGAAAAGAGTCCAATTGCATCCACTTTGTCAAAGCTGACCTCCATTGTGGAGTACCTAACAGACGAGGAGAAGAAGAAAACTTCAGTGAGCAAGCTGGAGTCAGCTTTGGAGGGGGGATCAACTGGCTCGTCAGATGTTCCGCTTTATGGGGGTGGGAAAAAGGCGGCTCAAGCAAGGAGGGCGTTCCGGTCCTCTTTCGAAGAGAGCCCCGGCGACATCGCTGCGCTCATAGAGAAGCTCATGTACGAGGACCTCACCTCGACGTCCCTGGCTCACGGCATGCCTCCAAGGGGGCTCAATGCAAGAGCGTGGGTGGAGCACAGGAGTCACATTACTGCCCACAAGACAGGGGCGCATGCAGCTTGGAGTGTGGCGGGGATCTTGGACAGCCTCATCTTGGGAAACTACACCAAGGCAAGGGCTCGATGTGCAGTCCTGCTCTTGATGTTGGATCAGGCAAGCAGAGATCGGGGAAACTGGACCCTGGCGGCCGAGCTTGCGCCCGAACCTGGACCGCCAATGAATGCGCTCAGCAATCATGTGGGGCCAGCGGTTCAGGATGGCGAGAGCCCATTTAGCAGGCTTTTGGATCCACGATGGGCAGAAGCAGCTCTGGCACATCTCAAGGACCAAGACGACTACCTGGCAAAAAGGCGCAATGTGGGAAAAGTGGCGACGACAATCCAGAAGCAGATGCAAAGAGGCGACCAAGGCCCAAGGCGAAGGCAAAGAACCAGCCAGCGGGCCCGACGCACGAGGGATGACCCTAGTGCATGGGGGCTTGGATGATGGTGGTGAAGGAGGTGGACGAAGAGCCCCTGGTGCAGAGGCCACTACCATCCGAGTCCGTGCTTTTTTGAATTCGATGCCCCGATGGCTGCTTCGGACAAGATGCAGCCTTCAGAGTTTTTTGCGCTCAATCCTGATGATGCCCTGGCGCGATTTTGGCCTCACGTCCAAGGCGGGTTCTACCTGGCCGCTGCCGCTTCCCTTCCCGGAGGTCTTCTCTGCTGGCGGATGTCTTGATTCCCGCTCGCATGTGAAAAGGCTGATCTCCTTGCAAGTGTTGGCTCTTGACTGGCTTCATTTGGGAAAGCCGGCTGCTGCACCGCCAACACTTGCTTTGGGCACCTCATTGACTGCGCGGCAGTGGTCTGTAGTGCGAATGCTTGAGCACCTTGCCTTCGACGGTACAACTCCCGAATTTGTGGATGCTGCCTGCATGGGCCGAGTGGCCAGTAAAGTGGAAGGCTTCGAAGAGAGCCTGGCCGCCCTCTCACGGGCAGTTTCTACCTTGCATACCTCCTCTGGGCACTATTTTGGTGCTACCGCCCACAGCCGGAGCCCCCCAGATGAGGATATGGCTATCCAGCGTTGTGGGACAGTTTGCGGCTCATTGAACCAGAGGGTGGAACCAACAGCTCGGCCTCTTGTGGCTGCCAGGCTCACCTTTCCGCCTGCACCGCGGTTTGACCCGCGACCTTACTTTGACCACAGCACCCAGGACCTCTATGAGTTCCCTCCCTCTCATGGCAGAAAACTGGAAGAGATAGGAAAGCCACCTGCAGTGCAAGTGCGTGCAAGTCCGCAGGGCCGGATTCAGTTGTACCAGAAGCTTGCGCAATCAGGCCTTTTGAAACCTGTGCCAGAAGGTACCTACCTTGACCTCTACCGCAACGGCCTCTTCTCTGTCCCAAAGGACGCTGAGCGTGACAGGATGGTGTTGGACGGACGTCCAGCAAATATGGTCGACAGGGGTCAGCACAAGTGGTGTCAAGCAATGGTTTCCGCTGCAGCGTTGGGAGGGCTTCACATCGAAGATGACAAAGTCCTGGTGTGCGGGGGTGAGGACCTTCGCGACTACTTCTACCAGTTTGTGGTCTATGAAGAGCGAACGGCGAGAAATGTTTTGCAAGGCAGCCTTAGTTTGAAGGAGGCAAAGCAGGTTTTTGGAACCAAGTTTGAGTGGCCTGCTGAACGTGTAGCAGTTGGTTTGAGCAGCTTGGCAATGGGTGACACCTGTGCTGTGGAGTATGCTCAGTGCTCCCACCTTGGGTTGTTGCTACAGGGCAAAGCGCTGCGGGTGAAGGAGCTGCTGACTCTGCACGGCTCCGTTCCTAGGGGTTTGCTGCAGATTGGGATCATTGTGGATGACCTGGTTGTGCTGGAGCAAGTTTTACGAACGGAGTTGGAAGAGAGAGGTGCTACTGCAGCAGCCTCTCTGAGTGCTGAGCGGCTTTCCAATGCTCGGGTGGCCTATGCCCAAGCCGGGCTGCCCAACAATGAGAAGAAAGGCTTTGCGGGGCTGACCTGTGCCAACTTCTGGGGAATAGATGTCGATGGCGACAAAGGCCTCTTGCGTGCCAGTCAACGACGACTATGGCCTGCAATGGTTATTTCCTTACGTGTATGCGCACTGGGTTTGGCCACTGTGGGACTCCTTGAATCCCTTGCAGGCATGTGGGTGTCTCTTTTGGCAGTGAGGAGAAGGTTGTTCAGTGTCATGGACCTCATTTTTGAGCCGCTGACATTGGACTGCTCCAGCTCCACGGTGATCCGCCTGTCCAGCGACATGATCTCGGAGCTGGCTTGCATCTGCCTCTTGGGCACTTTGGCCGTGGTCAACCTCAGGGCCGACTTCGCCAACTTTGTCTGCGCTACTGATTCAAGTGGCTCAGTGATGGCTGGTGTCAGAGCATCGATACCAAAGTTGTTCTCCAAAGAGTTGGCGCGGCACACTATTCGCAAGGGAGTTTGGGCTAAGCTGCTGCCCCCTGGGAAGGCGCTGTTGAGGATGCATGGACTCCTGGAGCCAGGAGAAGAGACACCTGAGGAAGGGTATAGGACCAACCCTCTCTGGGAGGTTGTCGCACGTGGGCTTACGTACCATGAGTGCTGGAGGAGGAGAATTAGGAGGCAGAAGCATATCAATGTGACAGAGCTGCAAGCTTTTGTGGAGGAGGAGAAGCGTATTGCAAACTCGACCCCAAGCCTTCGAGTTCCTTTCGGACTCGACTCACAGGTGGGTCTTGGTGCTGTGGCAAAAGGATGTGCTGCTTCCCCGAGCCTGAATGCTGTGTTGCAACAGAGCATGTGCTATGCCATCGGTGGAGATGTTTACACCCTGCCTATGTACTTCAACACTGCCTCAAACAGAGCTGATGGACCCACCAGAGGAACTGCTCCAAAGGGCCCCGACCTTGCTTTACTTGATTGGTTTGGTGAACTTGCTCAAGGAGACACTGAAAGCTTTGATAGGTGGATGGACTTGGCGGGTGTACCCTCGCCTGAACCCGAGCTGCCTTATGCTGACCTCTGCGGCGCTCAAGATCTAGACCTTAGCTCTGGCTCTGTTTTGCGCCGTAAGGAGTCGGCTGTTTTGGGCCGCCCAGGACATGTGAAAGGGGACTTGGCTCTGCCTGAGGAAACTGCAGCCCTGCAGAATGAAGTTGGTAGGTTGTCAAAGTTGTGCCCTGAGGCTGTTGAGCTGCTCTCATGCTTCCCAAGGAGGCAATTCTACTTTCGTGAAGGCGTTCTTGACTTTTTCGAGGCTGGCTGTTTGGACCTTTTTTCTGGAAAGTTTGGAGTGGCCCGGCAGCTTGTGCGTTGTGGTGCACCTTGGGTACTTACGTTTGAGTGGGAGAGAAGTTCAGATGAAGACTTGCTGCAGCCTCAGCTCAGAACAAAGCTCCGGAGGATGATAGCAGTTGGATGTTTCAAAGCGTTTGGTGCTGCCCCCATTTGTGCAAGCTTTTCTGTTGCGGTGACACCGCCGGTGCGGAGTAGCCAGTTTCCTCGAGGGCTCCCCAACTTGTGGCGTTCCATGCAGCAAAAAGTTCGCGATGGAAACAGCCACAGCGACTTTGTCCGTGACCTGGTCGAGGATGCCGAGTTCTACGTCCTTGCCTATTTCGTGGAGAACCCTGATTTGTCATGGTGGTGGAGGCAGAAGAGATGGAAGCGCTGGAGGAGCAGCACCTCAGCCTGTTGCTTCAGGCTCTGTTTTTGCCGTTTTGGTACTCCCTGGCAGAAGGCAACGCGTGTTGCAACCAACACCAGACTTGCCGGGGTGAGAATGATGTGCAAATGCAAGAGGCCCCACCAGAGACTCAGGGGAGGGCATCCGACACTGAAGAAACCTTGGACTGCTGTGGCCCAGCCTTATCCTCGTGGGTTATGCAGGCTACTGGCTCTTGCACTATGTCAACACGCTGGATGGTGTGGGCGTGAACGTTTGAATGTTGCTGACTGTGCAAAGCTGGGCTGCTTGAGACCTGGCGAGGCTAAGAACCCAGGGCCACGGAGAAGGCTGCCGCGTGAACGACAAGGTAGCCTTTTGGATGTCAAGCTGGTGACTACACAAACGCTGGCGCTGGAAGCGAAGCAGCTTAAGATGTTTTGTGACTGGTGCAACAAATGGCTTCAGGGTATTGATTTGGAAGTTTTATTTAGCAGGGTGCCGCAGTTTTTGGTTTCTGCTTTGGAGCGCCATGCTGAATGGCTTTTCAAGAACTCTGGGGCACTCAGCAACATGCGACACATCATACTTGCTGCACAGCGTTGGATACCGGCCTCTCGGCCTTTGATGACCCCAGCTTGGGAAATGGTGGACAGATGGGAGTTGTTGTTGCCAGTGAACCATCGCATTCCCATCCCTTACAACGTCGTGTGTGCAATGTGCACGATTGCTTGGCACCTGGGATGGTATGCATGGGTTGGCGCTACAGTGCTCGCTTATTTTGGAGCAGGAAGGCTGGGAGAGGTTTTGAGATGCTGCCGCGAGGACTTGGTTTTGCCTCAGGACGTTTTGAGCCGGCGGAGTCGCCGATCTTTTTACGACTGCGGTCGTTCAAGTCACAGTTTAGGCAGCCCTCGAAAGTTCAGCATATGAAGGTGGTTGACCCCTCAGCCTGCCGTTTGCTCACCAAAATTTTCAAACACCTCCCTCTTGATGCTCCTCTCTTTGACTCCTCACCCTATCAGTACAGAAAACGATGGGATTTGGTTTTGCGCCTGCTGTCAGTGCCTGTGAACTTTCACCTGACACCTGGTGGTTTAAGAGGAGGAGCTGCAGTCTACCACTACAAGTGTGGAAAACCCATCAATGACTTGATGTGGCTGCTAAGACTTCGCAGCCAGTCCACACTCGAGAGTTACCTACAGGAAGTCGCTGCCCTGAACATTTTTGCTCGACTCCCCTCCAATGCAAGAGAATGCATACGCATGGCTTCTGCTTTCTTTCAGTTTTTGCCTTCTGGTGACTGCTGCCTCGCAGGATGAAGACAAACTCCCTTTGTGGAACACGTCCTTGCGCACCTGCGGACCGTCCCTGCAAGACTTGGTTGTGACTACAGCTGCTGGATGCTCCTATGTCATGGTGGTGCTCTATGGCCTCCTCAATTGCCCTGGAGCTTGGTCCACCTGGGCCTTTTGTTGCGGCATCCTTTGGCGCAGCTGCGGTGCACTCTTACCTTTGTGGGTGATGGAAAAAGAGTCTGCGCTGCTTCACCAGCTTCGACCTATGTCATGGCGGTGCTCTATGGCCTCCTCAATTGCCCTGGAGCTTGGTCCACCTGGGCCTTTTGTTGCGGCATCCTTTGGCGCAGCTGCGGTGCACTCTTACTTTTGTGGGTGATGGAAAAAGACTGTGCGCTGCTTCACCAGCTTCAACCTTTGGGCACTGAGTCACTTTTGTGAACATATATATATATATGAATACATACATGCATACATACATACATACACACATACCTACATACATATACATATATATATATACATACACACATATAAAAACATATAAATATATATACATATATAAATATATATATATATACGCATACATGTGTACATACACACACACACATATATATATATAATATATTTATATAAAGGCAGTACCACACCCCCACCACACCACAGGGGGGGGGCGGGGAACATACCTCTTGAATGTCCATACCCATTCCTACGACTAACTACTACTCACTACTACATACTACTAACTACTACTGACCCCCTTACCCCCCTACCCACCCACAGAGGGGGTGGGGAACATAGCTCCTGTATATCCATACCCATTCCTACTACTAACTACTACTCACTACTACTCACTACTACATACTACTACTAACCCACCCACCCCCCTACCCACCCACAGGGGGGCGGGGAACATAGTTCCTGTATATCCGTACCCATTCCTACTACTAACTACTACTAACTACTACGAACTACTACTAAACCCCCCCACCACCCTACCCACCCACAGGGGGGGCGGGGAACATAGCTCCTGTATATCCATACCCATTCCTACTAATTACTAACTACTACTCACTACGACTAACTACAACTACAACAACAACAACTACTACTACTACTGCTGCTACTACTACTACTGCTACTACTAACCCCCCCACCCACCCACAGGGGGGGGGCGGGGAACATAGTTCCTGTATACCCATACCCATTGGGGGGGAGGGGGGGGGTGCCATTGACGGTTGGCGTCGATTTTGCGGCACCACTTCTTGTGCATGTAAGCAGGGTGGAATGGGTTAAGGTGTCTCGATACATGTAGCTGTAACCTGCAACTCCCTTTATATTGGCAATTCTGCATAGGATTTATCTCCGGCGCCAAGCACCACTTTCAGAGCATGGGTGCTTTGCACTTTGGCGCGCCTGGTTCATACTATTCACTGGGCTTCCGTTGCCCATGTGCATAACTTTAACTTGGTCGCAGAAAGGAAGCATTGCAGCCCTATATCTAGAACTATAGATACGATACCTAGACTATACATTATGTATGTAACTATATATTTATGTATGTGTATAAGTATATATATATATGCAAATATGTATACATGCAAAAACAATATATTTAGTATATACACATATCTATTGCCTTGGATTTATTCTTTATGCTACTGCCCCTCTTTCCCTCTCACTTTTTGGTGTTCTATTTGCGTCCTTCTCTTTCTTTCTTTCTTTCCCTGATGCTTGCATTCACGCCGAAATTTCTGACCCAAAACACGTATAAGCATTGATAATTCCGTGGACAGACATTTTGGAGCGTCAAATCTTCATGCACATGTACATGCATGTGCAATAAGTACAAAGGCTGCTGTGTATCAGGTGTGAGCGTGTGTGAGCGTGTTTGAGCATCATATTCATTTTTTGCCGCCTCGATCTGATTTTCGCACTAATTTAACTTTGCACACGGGAAACTAATTAAATCCGCTTGGAATTGGCAAGTGGGCACGCCTGCAAATTAGTTGAAAAGAGCTCCAAATATCCAAAAGCACAATTGTTTTTTTTTTCAAGTTGGTATGCCACATTAATTGGCTCCACTTGGCAGCTCACCGCGGTTCATCCGCAGCTGACGAAGATTCAGCTGCAGCGCTGCGTTTTGGCCGCCTGGCTCGCAGCACCGCACTTGTTGATTTGTTGAAAAAGGAATGGCGTTCGAACAAAAGATTAAATATGAACAGATCCACGGATAGCAACAACAAACAAAGACACAGCATCTTATATAGCTTTCTATATCCAATGACAGCCAACAAGAGCAGATATGCCTTGACAATGCACATCAAACCCTGCAATCACAACACGAAAATCATGCTGGACATTGCGCATCAAAGTTCTGGTACGGAGTGGACATGCGGAATCTCGGCGTAATGGTCTCGCGATCGCGATCTGGCATGCAAGATGTTTGTTTCTCACTTTCTGTATCTTTTTTTTTTCTCTCTCTTTTTCTCTCTCTCTCTCTCTCTTTCTTTTTCTCTTTATTTATCCACCCCAGGCACTGGCGAGGGCTTGACCCCCAGCTCCGGACGGCGGGCGCTGGAAGGAAAGTTCTCAAGGGCGCCGCCGCCACTGGCGAGGGTGGACAGCGGCCCAGCTCCGGCCTGTTGTGGCTTGATGTTGTTACTGCAGCGCAGGGGCAGAAGTGGCAAGTGGATCAGAAGCTGTTTAGTGGCACGCACGTGGAGGATAAAGTGGCTGATCCTTTCAGGTTGTCTTAATTGCACTCATCGAACATATGCGCGCTACGATTTGAATGCCTTCATCTGCCTCGAGTTTTTGCTATAGTTCCGTTGTCCGAGGTATACGCGGTAGGGGCCCGTGGCCTTTTGTTGCTGCAGACTTTGATGTACTTTGGTTACCATTGGTTACCGTAAAATTAAAACGCATGTTTTTGATTTATTTCAACATGGGGCGCAGGGAAAGTTACTGTTGGCGTGGTAGGAGAACGTGATCAAGTAGGCAGACGGGGCAGATTGAGTTTACGGTTTAATGAAAATGGCTATGCTATTGGGGCTGCTAGCGGTGCAGGTGCAATTTATCTTTGGGGTATTTGAATGTGTAGAAGGGCCACGACATCAAGGTAGGGACCATCTGCAGCTGGATGGTTTGTTGCTAAACTATGTGCGTACTGGTGGGAGCACAACAAAAAAGTTTTAAGAAACACATTGCGCATTGGCCAGGCATGCAATTATTCGGGAGAGCACGCGACAGACGATTGAATTTAAAGAAGACTTGGCCGATATTGCGGATGAGGCAGTAATGCATGCAACGGAAAGGCACCAGTGACAAAGCTATAGTGACAGCACATTGTGCAGGACGGATAAGTGTGGATTGCGGGTCTGTGCATGTAAGCCTGCCAAGGCACTTCTGTTGAGTAAAGACGGTGCGCTTGAAGGCGCCTTTATGTTGAACTTTCTCCTTGTTCTTCAGCTGTCGGTTGCGGGTCTCCTTCTTCCATTGTGCGGCCTTTTTTGCAGCCGTTTCTTTTCTTGCGGCCAACTTCCCAGGATTCACCCTGCGCACTGGCTTGCACAAGTCTTGCCTGCTGATAATGGGTTGTACCTGCCCTTCCTCAAGAGCTGGCAGAAAACCCTTTTTCAAGCAGCCTTGCATTAAGCTGAGAATCTCAGACTCCTTTCTTTGTGCCAAGGTGTGGAAGTATGCGGCCGAATGGTGGGCCAACATCTTGGCCAAGCTGAAAGCTTGAAGTTGTGGTGGGAAGGTTTGGATGTGCTGCTGGATGATTTGCTCTTGGCAAGCTTTCAATTGAAAGTGCAAGGCTTCATTGCTGCACGTGCCAAAACTCAGGAGTTGGAGCTCCGCAGGTGGCAGCACGTCGTGGAGTGCAGAGATGATGTGCGATCCGTTCCACAAGTAGCGAAAATGAGTGTAGGAAGCCCCGGCCTTCAAGATCTGGCGGATTGTGCGCCCTTTCTTGTCCTTGTGGCCCATGTTGTCTGGAAACGCAGTGCAAAGGGCTTGGATGTCATTGATATACTCCTGGTGGTTGCAGTATGGTTTGGTTGCTTTTTTATCCCAATCTGTTTCGGTAGCTTCTTTGTCCATCAGATTGTCCGACCAGTTGCCGGCATCAGGAGGGTCTTCCACAGCATGGCCACGAAAGAACGGAGCTGCGTATGGCAGGCGGAAGCGGGTTTGGATCTTGAGCAAGCATGAGGACAAGGCAGTGCGCTTCTCTCCAGTACAAGCTTCCACGCGCAGCACCAAATGCAAAGCATCTTCTGCGACAGCTTCCAAGTTTGGCAAGACTTCGGCCGCGCCTTCTACAGAGGTAGGGCTATCAGAGAAGATGTACTTGACCGTGTCCCGAGCAGCTTGAGGCAGGACTTCAGCAATGGCCGCCCGAAACTGAGCAGGACCCTCCGTGCGCTGAAGGCTGAAGCCAGGCACAGCGCCCGACCGGCCAAGAAACGTGTGAAGGGCATGGAATTCACCTTGTTTCTGTTGCATTGGCACTTGTCCAATGGCGCTGAACAATACTTGATATGTTGCATCATGACTGCAAACAAGCCATTCTTGGCGCTCAGTGGCAGCTTCAACCAAGCCTGCATGCAAGTCACGCACTGGCTTCAAGGCCATGACTTCTTGAAACGCCGCCTGGCGGGTATCTCCTCTGCGGCAACCAAGCAGTGCGCAAGAGCTTCCTCGAGAGACCCAATCACTTGTGATGTCGTTGAACATCGTGTGGACTTTGCCTCGGTGTTTGATTGCCTTGGCCAGCACCAAATCTGCGAAATCATTGCTAATGTAGAGCATCTTGTTGATCCGCAGAGCTTGTGCTGTTTGTTGCTTGAGAACATATTGTGGGCCAGTGCCAGTGAGAATCAACGCCATGTCCACAAAATTTTGGGTGGAGAGGTAGCGGAGCGAGTCTGCATCCAGTTTTGCCCAAGATCGAATGCAGGTTGCTGCCAGGGAAAGTAGGTTATCTTCTGCATGGCAGCCAGGTATCAGAGGTCGTAAGGCCTGGCGGATAACGAAGCATGGCATGTCCACGTGCGCATGTGTATTTACAACAGATGTGGTTCGAACCTGCCTGCTTCTGCTCAAAGATGGCACATGCGACATAGAACTGTTGCTTGTTGGTGACAAAATCCTTTTCTGCCGTGTGGTATTTTTCGACATGTGTGAGGAGGGATGATCTTCGGCTGAATGTACGGAAGGGGCACATGGTACAAGCATACGCTGCTTCTGGATTCGATCGACCAGCTTCGCGCTGCAAACCTGAGAAACTTAAGATATCAAAAATGCTTAGAGGTTACGGTGGCTGATATTGGTATTATCATATTGTCTCTGAAATGAATCCTGCACAGGCAG